CTCTGATTGGTCAGATGGCTCTACTCTGCTCTGATTGGTAAGATGGCTCTGCTCTGATTGGTCTGATGGCTCTACTCCGTTCTGATGGGTCAGATGGCTTTACTCTGCTCTGATTGGTTACATGGCTCTACTCTGCTCTGATTGGACAGATGGCTCCACTCCGTTCTGATTGGTCAGATGACCCTACTCTGCTGGGCAGATAGCTGCAGTCTGTTGTGATTGGTCAAAACCAAACACCTATTACCATATCTGATTCATGTACCTTATCTGATCAGCCCTTGTAAACACAGTAACGAACAGTAATGAACAGTAACATTTGCATCAGAAAACACAAACCAAACACTTCCAGTCACAGCAAAACTAGTGTTTGAGGGTCAAAGTAGACATTTTTCACAGGTAGGCAATGAAATCCACAGACTGTCATTATGCAAATGTCTTACAAACCAGCATCAGTTTGTGCAGGAATTACTGACAAAGTGGAATCCCAGTGGAAAAACTGTATACTCTCCAAAAACACTTACAGCGAAGAGCGGCGGGTCCTTCGGATGAGGGTGGAATCCTCTCTGTTTGCAGGTACCGACATCGTCCATCCCATAATCAGTCAGGCGGAAGTAGCCCGTCCTGCAGCATATGTCAGACTCATATGTTATTGAGGTCTGCTAACTATCACTAAAAATAGGGGTGTAATGGTACAATTCAGTCCAGATGTGCAACAACTTAGAGTAGTATATCAAGCACAATTACATAGAAAAACAATGGAAATATGAAACCCTGGTGGTTCATTCCACTGTGGAGACCCCAGATTAATAAAGGGACTAAGTCGAAAAACAAAATGAATGAATGAATGAATGAATATGAAATCCTGTCCGATCAAATACACACATAAGTCAGTATGAGTCCCTTCTCTATACACACGCGCGCACACACACACACACACACACTGCACCTGCTGTTATGGATGGACACGGTGCTGGTATTTTTATCAAAAAACATTCCAGTTTTCATTTTTTGTACTGTTTTTCAGAAGAGGATTGAGCTTATTTTTTTTTTATTTAATACAGTGTCCTTATTGTAAAGTTTTATTCAACATTTTTCTATTCATTTTGTACTTTTGTATCACAAGCAGCCTTTAAATAAGCAGTTAATAACTACATGCGCCACACATCAACTGGTATAATATAATGTGCAATAATGTATTAAAGTTTTTATTCACTGTCTCTGTGACTTTGTTGGGAAACCTGTAAATGTGAAAAAGGTCCATTCCAGTGGTACTGAACCCGTATCGAAGCGTGGCTCCGAAATAAATGTGTGTGCCGAACCAAGACTTCTGTGTACCGTTACACTCCTACTAAATAACGTGCATCTCAGAAAACATACTCATTGAATTTGGGCGAGCAGACGATGGCTATGGACTCTGGAAGCATCATCTGATAGGAGCAGTGTGTGTGCAGATCCACACTGGACAGAAAGGCCGTCTGCGTCGGGTGCGTCTTGAGGAATACAAGAGAGATTGATTATTATCAAGCCGTACATTTACAGTAATACTGCTTTTAAAGGGACAGTTCACCAAAAATGAAATGTTGTCATCATTTATTAACCCTTGTTTCAAACATTTAAGAGTGTCTTTGTCCCGTTGAACCCAAATGAAGATATTTTAAAGAAAGTTAAAAACCTGTAACCATTGACTTCCATAGTATTTGTTTTCTTATTATGGAAGTCAATGGTTTCTAACATTCATCAAAAATTTAAAACATGTTTGGGTGTCTTTCTTCTGTTGAACTCGAATGAAGAAATTTTGAAGAAAGTTGAAAACCTGTAACCATTGACTTAAATTGTATTTGTTTTCCTATTATAAAAGTCAATGGTTACCGGTTTTCTAACATTCTTAAAAATTTTAAAACATGTTTGAGTGTCTCTTCTGTTGAACAAAAATGAATATATTTTGAAGAAAGTTGAAAACCGGTAACCATTGACTTCCATAATATATGTTTTCCTATTATAGAAGTCAATGGTTACCGGCTTCTAACAAGTCTATAAAATTTCAAAACATGTTTGAGGGTCTTTTTCCTGTTGAACCCAAATAAAGATATTCTGAAGAAAGTTGAAAACCGGTAACCATTAACTTTCATAGTATCTGTTTTCCTATCATAGAAGTCGATGGTCACAGCTTTCTAATATTCTTACAAATTTCAAAACATGTTTGAGTGTCTCTTCTGTTGAACACAAATGAATATATTTTGAAGAAAGTTGAAAACCGATAACCATTGACTTCCATAGTATTTGTTTTTTTCTATTATAGAAGTCAACAGTTACCGGTTTCTAACATTCACCAAAAATTATAAACGTTTGAGTGTCTTTCTTCTGTTGAACCCGAATGAAGACATTTTGAAGAAAGTTGAAAACCTGTAACCATTGACTTACATTGTATTTGTTTTCCTATTATAAAAGTCAATGGTTACCGGTTTTCTAACATTCTTCAAAATTTTAAAACATGTTTGAGTGTCTCTTCTGTTGAAAACAAATTAATATATTTTGAAGAAAGTTGAAAACCGGTAACCATTGACTTCCATAGTATTTGTTTTTCTATAATGGAAGTCAATGGTTACCGGTTTCTAACATTCTTCAAAATTTCAAAACATGTTTGAGTGTCTTTCTTCTGCTGAACCCAAATGAAAATGTTTTGATGAAAGATAAAAACCAGTAACCATTGACTTCCATGGTATTTGTTTTCCTATAATGGAAGTCAATGGTTACCGGTTTCTAACATTCTTCAAAATTTCAAAACATGTTTGAATGTCTTTCTTCTGCTGAACCAAAATGAAAATGTTCTGATAAAAGTTGAAAATCGGTAACCATTGACTTCCATTGTATTTGTTTGCCTATCATAGAAGTCAATGGTTACCGGATTCTAACATTCTTCAAAACATGTTTGAGTGTCTTTCTTCTGTTGAACACAAATGAAAATATTCTGAATATGCTCATTGCACCCATTGACTTATGGTATTTTAGTAACCAGCATTCTTCACAATAGATTATTTTGTGTTGAACAGAAGACAGAAACTCAAGGTTTAAACACCACATGAGAGAGAGTAAATGATGAGGTCATTTTCATTTATGGGTGAATTCTCCTTTTAACACTGCACATCATACATGAATCCACCCTAGCGTAATGAGATCATTCTGATCCTGGATCAGGAAAAGTTCCTCCTCGTTCTCCGTGTCACAGTAATCTGGTCCTCCACACTGCTTGGGCACGATCACGTGGGTCACGGTGAAGGCGTTCTTCATCTGCAAATACAAGCAAACCGCTCCGTGTTCTCATGAGGACATCAGAAGTTGCTGCAGATTTATGTCATTATGATGATGTATTTCCAAATTAACATAGATATATACACTAGATATGGCAGAGGGACCCTGAGCATGCATCAATAGCGCCGCCATATTGGTACAGTGCTCCCAGGACAAATGTCAATTAACCGCACTAGTCAAGACAGTGTTATTACATGAAGATGCTGGACTTAAGTGCTGTCTATGGGTGTAGTAACGAGCAAACAAAGAAAACAAAGCAAAAAAAAGGCAGAACTTTTCATAGGTAGGATTTAGTTATTTATGTTTTTGTATGTTGTGAACTTTTGTGCTAATCAGGTAACGTTATTGATGATAACAGTCACTTACTGTATTCACCATAAGACAAAGAAGCTCCAACTCACACTAAACACTCGGCTTATGCTAGTTTTGTTGAATAAAATCAGCAAACAATGCAAAAGAAATATGACAACGAGATGCTGCACTGCCAGAAACTTGTGTTATTGTCGGCTAACGTTAGTGAAAGAGTCGTTCATAACGGAGATTCATTCACAAACGAATCGCTCCCTCCGTCAGTATGAGAAGAGAAAGCAGGAGAGAGGCTGTGTTTCAGGACACGGATTAGACCAAATTTAACCATAGATATATACATTAGATGTCGCCTGGCCTATTATTGTCTATTGGACGGAATGCGTCAATAGCGCCGCCATCTTGGTACAGCACTCCTTTGAAATGAATGCGGGACCAATGTACAGTGGAGGACTGTGGCCATCCAAAGCCAGAGATATACACATATACACATATATCTATGATCGGGAGTTTTCCTGGATGTTAGTATGTCATTTTTTTTTTCTATTTACGAAAATTATAATTTTACATCACTTTTCTACATTGATGGATCAGTGACCGCACGGGCATTCCTGACAAAAAGCTTGTGTTTGTGTGTACAGAAATGTACTATTCACCCTCCCTGTTAAATTTAATCTAATCATGTCCTGAAACACAGCTCCTCTCCTGCTTTCACTTCTCATACTGACGGAGGGAGCGATTCGTTTGTGAATGAATGCCCGAACGTCTCTTTCACTAACGTTAGCCGACAATAACACAAGTTTCTGGCAGCGCAGCATCTCATTGTCATATTTATTTTGCATTGTTTGCTGATTTTATTCAAGAAAAAACAGAAAAAAACTTAATATTACCTATGAAATGTTCTGCCTTTGTGCTTTGTTTTCTTTGTTTGCTCGTTACTACACCCGTAGACAGCGCTAAAGTCCCGCATCTTCATGTAATAACACTGTCTTGACTAGTGCAGTTGAATGACATTTGTCCTGGGAGCACTGTACCAATATGGCGGCGCTATTGACGCATGCTCAGGGTCCCTATGCGATATCAAGTGTATATATCTATGAAATTTAACAGGGAGGGTGAATAGTACATTTCTGTACACACAAACACAAGCTTTTTGTCAGGAATGCCCGTGCGGTCACTCATCCATCAATGTAGAAAAGTGATGTAAAATTATAAGCTTCGTAATTTAAAAACAATTTGCACACTGACCTCCGGGAAAACTCCCGATCATAGATATATGTGTATATGTGTATATCTCTGGCTCTGGATGGCCACAGTCTTTCACTGCAGCTTGGTCCCGTATTCATTTCAAAGGAGCGCTACCCTGTACTAAAATGGCGGCTCTATTGGCGCATTCCTTCTAATAGATAACAACAGGGTAGCCAAATTAAAAAGGAATAGAGTGGGGCACAGGCTCAAAGTCCCTTTAAAGGAAAGTCTGTTCATTTGGTAGCCATATTTGCAATGCCTCCGGGGAGCTCATCTAAAACCAAAGCCCTATTTAAATGAATAGGGGAATCCTGAAATCTGCTCACTGAACTTAACATTAAATTCATTCATTCATTTTCCTTCGGCTTATTTAAAGGTCGCCACAGCGGAATGAACTGCCAAGTATTCCAGCATATGTTTTACTCAATGGAGGCCCTACCAGCCACAACCCAGTACCGGGAAACACCCATACACTCTCACATTCACACACACTCATACACTACAGCCATATTAGTTTATGTAATTCCCCTATAGCGCATGTGTTTGGAGCACCCGGAGGAAACCCACGCCAACACGGGGAGAACATGCGGAAATGCCACACAGAAACGCCAACTGACCCAGCCAGGAATCAAACTAGCGACATTTTTGCTGTGAGGCAACAGTGCTAACCACTGAGTTACCGTGCCGCCTCCGCTACAGGAAGGTAGTGCTGTCGCCTCACAGCAATAACGTCGCTGGGTGGAGCCTCAGCTCATTTGGCGTTTCTGTGTGGAGTTTGCATGTTCTCCCTGTGTTGGTGTGGGTTTCCTCCAGGTGCTCCGGTTTCCCCCACAGTCCAAAGACATGCAGCACAGGTGAATTGGGTAGGCTAAAATGTCCGTAGTGTATGAGTGCGTGTGTTAATGTGTGTGTGGATGTTTCCCAGAGATGGGTTGCGGCTGGAAGGGCATCCGCTGCGTAAAAATGTGCCGGATAAGTTGGTGGTTCATTCCGCTGTGGCGACCCCAGATTAATAAAAGGACTAAGCCGACAAGAAAATGAATGAATGAATGAATGAATGTTGGTGTGTTGCATGTACCAGTTTTCCGCAGAGGATCCCGCAGGTCTCCACCGCCCTAGCAGTGTTCGTTTCTGCCAGCTTTAGAAACCTTTGGCAAAGCTCAGCAGGCACAAAGAGCTGTCGTAAGCCATTAACCAACGCACCTACAACACACAAACACCATATAATCTCTGTGTAATCACAGAACACACCAATATGTGTAATGAGTCAGTGATGGAAGTGCAAACGGAGGAAAACTCACTGTGTCCTGCACTGACTGGGACACTGGGCTTGAGCGAGCGGTCAAACGCCGGCAGGCCTGGAGATGCAGAATTTGCAAGGTTATTATTATAGCTTTGAATTTTTAAATGAGTTTTATTTCAGTTACTTACTTAAAGTTATTAGTTATAGCTGTGCACGTTTTGTAAAGCTGCTTTGACAGGATAATTATTGTGGAAAGCGCTACACAAATAAATGTGAATTAAACTGAATTAAATCAAGAGCTGGACTTTCCCACTGCACTGATTATGACATTTTAAATGTTTTGTTTTGGAGGTCTCTTGCAATTTACATCCAACTTTGATCAACATTTTTCCACGAGTGTTTATTTCAATCCTGTTTTTAAATTTGCTGTAAATTTTAGTTTAGTTGTTGTTGTTTCATTAATGGCTGTGCTAGTTTTAGCTTCGTTTTAATTTTGTGAACACCTCTTTATTTAGTTTTTTTTTATGATTATTTTTAGTGATTATAGTTTTAATATGACTAAATAGTTTAATATAATTTTATAGTTTAGCGTGAAAGGGACAGACTCAGAGCAGGCAAAGTTTACAGTGTATCCGGCAAGTATTGATAGCGCTTCACTTTTTCCACATTTGTTTATGTTGCAGCCTTACCGTACGTTCACAGTCGCACCGAAAGCGGCGAGAGCGTCCAAGGTCGCTCTGGCTGCCCCGGCGACAACGCTGTCTGCCTTCAGCTCCGGCGGCGAGAGCGTCAAAACTCGCTACATTGATCTCGTACTTAAAGGAGCCATTGCAGCATTATCAGTTACATTCCTGCATAAAACATGTTTTTAGTGTGAAAATGTTGCGCACTTCTTATCAAATTCATAAAACAATGGAAGATCAAGTTGCGTGTGGTGTGGCTTTGCTCTATTTATCTAATATGTGTCCATATGTCAGAAACATCCTGAAGCAGCAGTACTGTTTTGTACTGTCACATTGCGTGAGATTCCCGCTTTTTTAAGATAAATTTATATAACATTAATACACATCAGTAACTCGCCAGTAACTTATTTAATGTATGTTCCTGTAAGAAAACATTGTTAATAATTGGAAATCCGGCGATCGCAATAATCAAACCCTTGGGAACAACTGTGGTCGGAACCAAAGTTCACAGGTCTGTGTTCTCTGAACTGCTATCAAGCGATGGACATCTTCATTCTGATTGCTTGCCGCCGAACCGCGTCATAGCTCATTACCATAAAGTTGACTTCATTTCAACTGCTCCTCGCCGCCGGCTCTCATTGAAAATGAATGACTTCCGGCTACTTTGACGCTCTCGCCGCTTTCGGTGTGAACGTACGGTTATTCCAAAATGGATTCAATTAATTTATTTCTTCAACATTCTACACACAATACCCCATAATGACAATGTGAAAATAGAGTTTTTTAAATTGTTGCAAATTTATTAAATTTATTAAGCTGAAAAATCAGTTGTACATCAGTATTCACAGCCTTTGGCGTGAAGTTCTAAATTGAGCTCAACTACATTCTGTTTCCACTGATCATTCTTGAGATGTTTCTGCAGCTTCATTGGAGTTCACCTGTGGCCAATTCAGCTGATTGGACATGATTTGAAAAGGCATACACCTGTCTATATGAGCTCCCAGGGTTGACAGTGCATGTCAAAGCACAAACCAAGCATGAAGACGAAGGAATTGTCTGTAGACCTCTGAGACAGGATTGTCTCGAGGAACAAGGCTGGGGAAAGTTACATAAACATTTCCGCTGCTCTGAAAGTTCCAATGAGCACAGCGGCCTCCATCATCCGTAAGTGGAAGATGTTTGGAACCACCAGGAGTCTTCCTAGAGCTGGCCGGCCATCTAAGCTGAGTGATCGGGGAGAAGGGCTTTAGTCAGAGAGGTGATCAATAACCCGATGGTCACTCTGTCTGAGCTCCAGTGTTCTTCTGTGGAGAGAGGAGAACCTTACAGAAGGACAACCATCTGTGCAGCAATCCACCAATCAGGCCTGTGTGGTAGAGTGGCCAGACTGAAGTCACTCCCCGCCTGGAATTCACCAAAAGGCATCTAAAGGACTCTCAGACCATAAGAAACTAAACTCTCTGCTCTGATGAGACTCAAATTGAACTCTTTGGAACAATTTTAGGCAGCGCTCATCACCAGGCTAACAGCATCCCTACAGTGAAGCATGGTGGTGGCAGCATCATGCTGTGGGGATGTGTTTCAGCAGCAGGAACTGGAAGACTAGTCAGGATAGAGGGAAAGATGAATGCAGCAATGTACAGAGACATCCTGAATGAAGACCTGCTTCAGAGTGCTCTCGACCTCAGACTGGGGCGACGGTTCATCTTCCAGCAGGACAATGACCCAATGCACACCGCCAAAATATCAATGGAGTGGCTTCACAACAACTTGTGAACATCCTTAAGTGGCCCAGTCAGAGCCCAGACCTAAATCCTATTGAACATCTCTGGAGAGATCTGAAAATGGCTGTACACCGTCGCTTCCCATCCAACCTGATAGAGCTTGAGAGGAACTGCAAAGAGGAATGGGCAAACGTTCCTAAAGACAGGTGTGCCAAGCTTGTGGCATCATATTCAAGAAGACTTGAGGCTGTAACCGCTGACAAAGGTGCATCAACAAAGTATTGAGCAAAGCCAGTGAATACTGATGTACATGTCACTTTTCAGCTTTTTTATTGTTGATAAATTTGCAACAATTAAAAAAACTCTTTTTCTCACATTGTCATTATGGGGGATTGTGTGTAGAATGTTGAGGAAGTAAATTTAATCCATTTTGAAACGAGGCTGTAACATAAACAAAAGTGGAAAAAGTAAAGCGCTAGGAATACTTTCCGGATGCCCTGTACATTAACATTTATGCAAACCACTTATTAATAATAGTAAAATAATTGCTTGAACAGTCACTGAAGGAAAAAGCACACAAACGCAACTGGAATAAAAGTAAAAATTATGAGCAATTAAGACAAACGTCTTCATATTAAAGATGACAGATGCAGTTGAATTTGGCTAGTTTACAGTTTTCCTGTAAAATGGCATTTACGGTTATTTCCCTAAATAGCCGTAGGTCCGACTTTCCTCCACAAAATGTGTGCTTATTAATAATTTTAAAAAAGATTATTATTTTTGCAAATATTTATTTAATTTATTTAGATAATTCTTTTTTGTCCATGAATCTTAGTATGTTTATTTCTGAATTTTCATTGCCAATCATAGTCCATCATACTCATTTATTTTTGGTGAATTATGTATTTCCACAATCAATGCAGAGCCTCGGGAATCGAGACAGGCTAGACTGACCTCCCCCAGATCTGATGTTTTTGAGTCTTAGTTTTGGTGTAGTAAAATAACCTTCATGGTTAGTGGCTCCTGCAGGGGGTGTCTGGGGTGAGAGTGAGGCCTGTGGGGGTCCGTGTACATCCGGCAGCAGTACATCTGGAGCAGTGGGAGACACTGGGATGCTGAACTCCTGCACGATGCGCCGGCGCTCTTTCTCCAGCTCCTGGCGGCGGATCATCTCCTCGAAGGCGCTGAACTGCTCCTGCTCACGCTGCCGCTGCTGCAGCTCCGCCAGTCTCTGCCGCTGAGCCTCCTGCTCCTGCTGCTTCAACATTTCCACAGCCCGAGCCGCATCCTCCGCTCTCTGACAGCAGACACACACAGCAACAGCTGGACTTTCACACTGTACTGGATATTCTACAGTTTCTCCTTTTGTTTTGGAGGTCTCCTACACTTTTACATGCAACTTTGATCGACAGCACATGTTCACAGCGTCTGAAACAATCAGTTCAAGAATTC